TTGCCTAGTGTACTTGTCCTCGACCGCCGGTCACCAGTATTTGTTTGTATGTGTGTAACTTCAACTTGGCGTGTGTAATTTGGGACAGTGGTCGGCGTGCTGCAATACGCAAAATTTACCAATACGATATCCGATTGTGTCGGAACTGCGGTATCTGCGTCTCTGTCTGGCTCGTACGTTTTTATGGCCGTTTCCGGCGATGACTGTCGGACGTGCGGCAACTTTCAATGCGAAACCTTGCCTGGTCCTTAACCTAGTTGCGTGTGAACTAACTTGCATTTTGTATTCTTGGCCTTCTTTTGAATAAAATGCTTACACTATAAGGTTATTTGCGGTTCTTTCTTTTTTTGAGCACTATCAATCTGCTGGATTTGTGTCAAAGCTTCGAATCGACCGTGTCAATTGATAGTGTAAGACAAGCGGTGCCAGGATGCTAGAAGATCAAGGTTTCAACAGTGGAAAAAATTAACGCGATTTCATCACACACCAGTGTGGGCGATAAATTGGTTTTCATCATTTTTCTCTCGACAAACGGATTATTGCACGAACCGAAAAGTTCAGTTCTGTGCTGTTGCGTCAGAAATGTGATCTGTAGCAATTTGGATTTCGGACAATGAAATCGCGAATTCGCCTACTCACTGGCGTATTAAACCAACATTCGAATTATCACTGATAACGAACAATGTTATCAAACATACGTCCGCCCACATTTCCGCGACTAGCAACACTAGCACGAATGAATTATTTGACCCAATATCTAATTCTTTGCAATCATAACAGTGCAATGCACTCGGTCGCGTTGCACCTGTAGATTTTACAAAAATGTACAGTTGCACACACGTAACTTGCAGTTGCCCAACCTCACATTTATTAGATTTAGTAATATCGCATTAAGTTCCTCAGTTTCAAATTGGGTGTTGCTTATCTTAAGTAACTCCATACAACTTCGCAATTTGAACAGTAATTGTTCTATTGCAATCATTTAATATGGAGAAATTGCGATTTTAGCATCGTGGCGCGGACCGCGACCTCGACGAGAAAATTAATTAGCCGACTAGCTGATGCACTCCATTAGACAGTCTTAGACTTCCTCTGAGAAAATCATTTTATAACGAGACCTGGCCCTTGCTGGCCGTTTTCTGTGCCAATAGACGCAGATTATCGCGGACAAGGCGCCAGGTAACGATCCAATCGCACAGCGTCCCGGATGTCGTTAATATTTTTTCTAATATTACTTTCGTCATAAACCTACTCGGCGGGATCATATATTACTTACATTTTAAGCAAGTGGAGATCATCGGTTATCGGGATTGAGTACTTGATGTGTACGATACTATTTAAAATCTGCATATTTTATTACCGAGGGCTTGTCAGGAAACTTGCGGAGGAGTCACAATTTCCGAAAGGTAATCCTTGAATTGAAGAAAAAAATCCTTTAATCTTTGAAAACGACACATTTAATACAAACATACAATTTGTCGTGTACCTGGTTATTTTGTGATTTATTTTTTTCGTACCGTTATACATCCCCGTTTGGAATATCGCCAGCAAGGTTAGCTGGGTTTTTGCGAAACCTAACAGTCTGCCCGTTGTCACACTACATACTGTGCAATTTTCTTTCATCTTTCCCAATATTTGTTGCCTCATACGAACAACTACTGAAAGTTTCGAATAAATCAGGAGTTTATTGTGTCCAGAATTCCTAAAGGACCTTCACGAAAACTGTTGCGGTGATCTTCGCAAAGCGCTTGAAGCCGATGAAGCGAAATAATGAATTCATGAGTGCCGAGCGGTGTGGGTATTTGAAGTCCGCGCTCCTCCAAAGCCGCACTCAAAGTAATGAACAATTAAACCAAATGTTTTAATTGTATACTTCCATAATTGAAAGACACACCCCCCTGTAGGCTACCTAAATATCGACAGCGGTGCTTCGGCCAACCTTGCACTCCCACACTTCGCCCTCGGTAGTGATGCAGTTATTGCAAGTGCAGCCGTCATATTTCCGCATTTCTCTCAGTTACCGATCACTCTTACCGGAGTCTGTGGTACACCGGTAGTGCGCGCGCATCCCGGTTCAATGCTCGGTGCATTTATAGAATTAGAAATTACGACATGGGGGCGGTTGCCGCCTTTCCTAATCGCTCCAATAAGCCGGAACGGGGTGTCCATATCGTGAAGAAGTTGAAGCGACTCGCAGGGGTTCTCCCATGATCCCAATGTCTGTATTTTGTGTGGTCAAGTCCGACTATTTTTATTTTGACTACAAGCGCGCTTTTTGATTTCTGGAAGGGCGTAACGTGAAGGTGTCGCAACGAACACTCCTCCGATGTATTAGGCAAGGTTAGTTTTCCGAGCGCTTTGGCAAGTATCTCTTTAGCTCGGTCGTGTGGATTTGGCCCGCAGCTTGTACTTTGCAAGTCTGTTGCCCAACCCTTCACTGTCGTAACGATTGCACACACTGCAATCGACTGTACAAAATAAAACATTCTTATGTGTAGCAATAGGTTTGAATAGAGCGGTAATTTAATACCAGGACCGTGTTCCATCACCGCATCCATTCCGATAAGCAAACTAAGTAAATTACAAGCATGTTGCGGATGACGTAAACCGTAGGATCATTGTAGCAACCTTGTTATTTTATTATAACGGGAAATTCCTACATAAATAGATAATTAAAGTGTTTTTTTAATGCTTCCGTCTTTCATGAGTATATGCGTTCTGTATTAGCCGCTATAGCGGGAACTCGAACTTTTCTTCGCAAAAGTGTGTAAATATTTGTGGCGAACGCGGATCCGTCCTCTAACAGTAAACGCAACGTTAGTCGTGCTTAAATTATTGAATGGACTACATTTGCCAAGCAAAGAAAGTTCGCCGACAATGGCGCAACGCAAAAAGAAATGTGTGAAATGTTGTAGACTGAAAGTTGGGTTCGTTGACACAACGAGTAGCGCAATAGTGTTATATTTGTAACACATTCTGACTCCTTCCCGGTATCTCCACGTACGACTTTTAGCTTTATTGCATTACGCTCCTTGATTAATTGGAATGAACTTTGGTAACCTCGTGCGAAAACTGAAGTATTACGAACGCGGTCTCCAGCATGGATCAAGAGCCTGATTTAACCAACAATCCCTACATCATTTCGATTACTCGGACGATCATTTGCATATGTACAAACTACGCCTCCCTATCACCTTTTTGATCTGTGGCAATTTCTCAACAACAATTTTTTCAACCATCTATGACCTTCCAGCATCCATCTATTCATTTCAGATACGAGATTGCCAAAGACCTCGTCTATGCCATTAGGATGTTAGGAAACTGCCGACTGTTTTTGTGTTATTCATTAACTGAAATTAAATTCTTGTTATTCGCATGATATCATAGTAATTTATTTCAGCAAGCTTGAAGAACACATTTTCGTAAAATGATCTCTCTTTTTCGAGAACGTAGAAAGTCATCAGCTAATGAAAGAAAATTTCTTTTTGCTAACGCTATTCCGTTATGGTTTATAGTACCGATGGTTTTAATTTCATACTTGGATTAATGTTGAATCGAAGTTTTTCCTACGAGCAAGCGGTGGCATTATTCTCGCTAGCGCAAGGCAGAAATTTTACAGTTCTTCCTTTTATTTTCATAACGCGTCTAACGCACAGCTGGAGATTTAATAATCTTTTCAGGATATCGCGTTGCTGAACTCAACAGCTATCTTGATTGCCTTCGTGGAAAAATTTAGACGATGTATAAACTTTTTGTAGACTTTGTTAGAGTGAATTAGCTTCTTCGTAATCACGAAGCTCATGATTAAGTCCTGAGTGATCTCAGACTATGACAAATCGGAAGATAGTGTCGTGCAAAATTTTCAGAGTATCGGTTGCAAACACTGACGATTGTTTATGTCGTAGAGAATGAAGACGAGCGCTCGCGAAATGTCAAGAGCCTGAAATCTCTGTTGCGGTGCGAGTATTTGAGACCGGAGAGGCTCTTTGTGCAGGCAGGCTGAATCTTGTCGGCGACTGGTCCTAATCTGCAACGTTGGCGAGGGCATTAGTTCCTGTTCTTCGCATATTTCGTGGCACGACCGCGAGATGCAAAAAAAAACTAGTCCTGCAACAAAATCTCGGCCCATAAAAAGTGGCCCGTTGTCCCGTTCGGCCAGACAAATGGCGTTGTATTGACCTCGGCGTATGCGACCAAATAAGTAATCAAAACACATCCGAAAAAATTGCATGGAAGCTATCTGGTCGTGCCCATCCGCACCCGCGACGGGCGGGGCCGCGGCCGAATTCGCCATGGAAGCTAGCCATCTTAGCTCTCGTGTGTATTGTTTCGTTGAACTCTTTAGTTTTGCAAGACGACGCACGGCCAGATGCCGATTAAATTGGACTCAGATCGGGCCGACGCGAAGGGTAACAGCACCATAAATAATGGGTATTGCAAGAGGCTGCTGTTGCAACGCGTTGTTGCGGAGAAATGACACTTTCATTTGTTCAAAAAGGTTTCGGCTACCTTCTTCGCTTTCTCCGGCTGCGGGTTCGTTGAACGGGCACGGGGGGCGAAGGCCCCGGAAAAAGTCTTGTGCAATTTTTGACAGATTCACGACCGCGGGCAGCGGAGCGTCACACATATTAGACGAGACGTCCGAGCGAAAAGCAATCATCTATAAGCGGAATCGCAATTTGTACCTGTTATCCAATAGTGGCACCATCGGGTTTTGGTGTTTTGACAGAAACAGAGCAGCATTGTTGCAAGAGCTTGCCCAACATTTTGTTAAAACATTCGATGACGTTACGTTTTAATGCTTTCGACACCGGGTTGCGGAACCCTTTTGTACACAACTTTATGTACATATGTAATAGTCGATTGTTTAATTTGTCAGATAATTTGCAAGCTGTTTTGGGAGAACGGGGCCCACGCCTTTGCGACAAATTCTCGATTGGTTGCGACAACGCGTAATCGCTTCATATATCTCATAGAGCTAATAGATTGTTTCCTTGCAGGACGGAGTTGAAATTGGAGTCGCTGGAAGACGCCGTGGTGTTGGAAGAACCGGAAACCGACTGGCTGCATGATAAAAGAGGATGTCCTGCTTACGTGAGTCCGGAAATTCTCAAAGCTGGCGCCCACTACTCAGGAAAGGCGGCAGATATGTGGTCCCTAGGAGTCATCCTCTACACGATGCTAGTCGGCAGGTAAATATCCAAACCGACTTACTCGAATTCCACGCTGTGTAATAAGACGTAAAAAGTCTTCCATGAGGCACCTGTCTTAATTAATGCGTCCGATAAACCCTTAAAAATCCGCACCTGGCTTTGAAAAACTCGCGTCAGGTATAGAAGGATGCTTAATATCGGTCTACGCTGGTATCGTGGTGGTGCTTTTTCTTTGTGCGTGCGCCAGCCTCGAATTGCCGACGGCTTGTAGAAATCCACCTGCTCGATGCACCCTTTCGAAATCGTCAGATTATTTGTAATATGTCAGGCATCACCTGCCCCCTATCACGGTAGTCTCGCATGAGGGTAAAAAATAAAAATTTCGAGATGAGCATGTGGCAGGTGCGGTCGTCCGTTCTACGCCTGTCTGTCGATTCGCCCAACCTGTGCGATTATGAAATCCGTAATTTATCGTCATTATTCAGAACTCGAACGAAATTAGTTTTCTTATCTTTAAAAACAAGACTGTTTGTCGAGGATGTTTGTCCAAAAATCAAAACATTTCGATTATGTGTTTATTAAGTATTCGCTGATATTTCGACGTTTCCGTCAATCTAAATTTAACCAGAACGATAATAATTTGTACTTTGTGTAGAAAAATCGATTGCAAATTCGGCGAAAAAGCACTTCCGGCAATAAAGCCCAATTTCGACGGGGAAAAAACGTTAAAACTCCTTATTTCTTTATTTCCCAAGCTATGATGCGTAACGGATTCACCATATGTCGATGCGAACACAGGTGAACATAACAAACTCTTCTTAACCGCACTTCAACAGTTGTTCATTATTACGAGGGGGTTGATGTCTTATCGGTCACCATATGACGCCCTACCAACTAATTTTAAGAAAGTCCGTACAATTTCTTTTGCTGCAAAGCGTCCACGAAGTCATGCTTCGATTATTTTAACTACTCCGTGTTATAGCCACAGTGATTTTTTCTTTACTTAGTCACGGTCGAAGAACTGCATTCAATTTCGTATAATCAGACCTTGAACTTGCGGTGTGCCGAGATTTACACCTTTTTTGTGGGTTCTGCAACCGGATATTTCTCCATTTTCACACATTTCAATGACAATTTGAATTTGAAAAGATAAGACGGGGTCAAACATCCTTATCTCCCGTCAATCGGAAGGCTCTGTTTTAAATTTTAAATCGATTTGATTATTCCTGCCTTCATCGTCTGTCGAGAACACCTAGGACAGCATCTGGAACTCGGTCGGAAATATCTCCCTATTAGGTGCCAGAGATAAATTTCTCAAAACAAAACACCTGGGATTGATACAATCAGTAAATTTTCCGTGGGCATTAATAATATCGCTTTGTTGTCCGAGTTTGATTAGCGGACGCATTGAAAGAAAGCAAATGGTGCAAAAGTAGAACAGGTAGAACGAAATTGGCGGACCGATTGCATTGTGTTGCAGCACAGGTGTCCCATCACACGTGGGCTCCCTTCGTCTGGGAGTTACTTTATACCAACTGTTTCCTTGGGTGGTTGTTAAGCTCCTCAAGAGTTTCAGTTGCATTTCAAAATATGCTAATGCCCGGATTTTCCCACGCACTTTGCTACAGTAACGAAATTTTTGTTCCAGATATCCCTTCAGTGATTCCGAACACGCTTCATTATTTGCGAAAATCTCCCGAGGCCATTTCGTAATTCCTGAATGTCTTTCGTCACGTGCAAGATGTCTGATTCGGTCTTTGCTCAGGAGAGAACCTTCGGAACGGATCACCTCCGACGATATTCTGTACCATCCCTGGCTAGCGAAAGAAGACAGGGAGTGGACCTCGAGGGCGTGCGATCAATTAGTACCCGAATGTAGTTTATACGAAGACTAGAAGATACGGGAAGAAAACGTGCAAGTTCGTGCTGTGTTTAGGAATATAAGGAAGCCATTCGTTTTTCTTTGTTGTTAGGAGTAATTTATAATTGTTTTTTCTTTGATCATGTTTCGTTTTACACGGGTCTGTGACCGTACTTTGTAGGTGATGTCGTTTCTTATTTATTTTTGTTTTCGCCAATGTCTTGTTATTTGCATCACCTACCGAGTGTGGTTTCGTCATTCAACAAAATGCATCTTCGATATTACAAAGTGGTTTGAAATCTCATACTTCATGCGAGTGGTATATGGACTGAATTATTCTAAAGCATCACGATATCTTAGTGATTATTTTAAAGACTGATTGAGCGGTTTATTGTTTTCATCTAATTCATAAAACGACCAATCGTGCAATTTTAGCTTACTTTTGCTCAAAGATTTGTGTTGTAATCTGGATTTAAGCATCAGATATGTTTAAGCGATATGACATTTTCTGTAACATACTAATAAATTAAACTAAAATCTTGTGATCTTTAGGTCAAGTCGATGCAATGTCGAAACTTTATTAGGATAAGTGTAGGAGAAACAATTTCGTATCGTGATGCTAATAGGAATGTAATAGTTTGCAATGTGATCTCGGTCAAACTGTAATCGTTTGACCATTGACGTGTAGGTATATATTTCTTTGGAACTGAGTTGTACATATTTTGTTTTTATTTCGTTTCCTAATTTATCATAAGGTCCTAGGTTAAATCTATGTAAATTTTGTACATAGCTTTGCATTTTATTTGTGAATTCGTTTCATGGTTGTTCTCTGCTGTTGTTCATAATTAAAAAAAACATTATTTATGTAATCTGACTTTTATTTATCCTCAAGAAACGGTGAGCTCATCCACATACTTCGAGTATACACCAAAATAAAAATACCAATCTAAACTTAAACGTGGTGACCCATAGTGCAATAAATCTTGAGCTTAATAGTTACAAAAATAGCACTACTCAACGTTGACGTAAAGTATCGGACCTAAAATTGTACCTTGCGGCGAAGAATTAATTATCGTAGTTAATGACGTAGCAGAAGAGACGCGAATTCGTACCGTCCTTGAACTTAGTAGAGAACGAGACACGTTGTAGGTCAATACCGTCGATTTATCATTAACAATTGTAATTTGGATCAAAATACAGAATTTTAATAAACGTAGCCGTCGTGATTCGTTAAATCATGGAGTACGTCTTAAAACGGATGTAGGAATGTATATATTAAAATTAAAAATGAGTTGAGGTAGTATATGCATAAAGCATAATTACTTATGATAATTTACTTTACGAAATTGCGCATCTGCCGCAACATCAAGTGATAATTAAACGAACAGATATTTTTTACTAATGCAGGTGCCAACTGCTTCCTATATACCTATTAAGGTCAGCTCAAGTGTTTCTTTGTCCAGGAAAACAAACAAAAAGGGGTGTCACGTAGAATATATATTGAGATAATATATTTCGATTAGTTTCTTACGCAAAAAGTTAACTTATGATTTTTAGACGACATTTTTAAAACAGTGAAAGCAGTACGTTCAAATTCTAAGGTGTGCTTGTAAATAATATGACGTCACAATATCACTTTGACGATTTTCGAGTATATGTTGCGAAAACGACAAAAGCAGTAACAGAACATTCCATAACAGATATTTATGTGTATATATTTTACAAAAACTCAACTTTTTAACAAAAGAATTTAAAAAGCACCTAATTTTCACGTCCAAATGTTTGTTATTCGTTATCATTTAGGTACTTCAAAAATTGTCATGGACTTGCCAGAAAGCAAACGTGTGACTTAAAAATTTAAAATAAAAGATAAAGTTATTTAAATTTTGTGGATAACGCACTTCATGCTCGTAAAGGTGTCAGTCTTAAAATGAAACAACTACTACTTGAATTTTAAGTTTATAAGAGTTTTTTTGTGTGAAATCCTACTGCCATTTTACAAGTTTAAATGACATCAAGTGAACAGAAACCCCTCTTTCAATAAAATTCTCCAGATGGTCGAGCATGAAAGCACCTGTTCCGCTATAATAGATTTTATGATCTAAAATAAACTACATTGTGGAACTGTCCATTTCCTCAGTTATGAAAGATTCGGTTCTCAAGTTTCAGATAGTTCATAATGTTCCTTTGTACGGTAAACATTGTTGAGTGTGACTTTAGCTTTGACCAAGGTTCGCTGAGCAACATAATAGACAGTGGCGTAGAATACATTTCATGACCGAGCCCTTCTGATTTATATTGTAACAAGATATATTGAAGGTGTATGGTAACGAGAGACAGCTATGATAAAATTTATCTGTGTACACCAAACAAGCACTATAATATTTTGTAATGTTGAATAGCGATAACTGATGTTTAAAATGATAAAAAATAATTTAAGCTTGATGTTCTCTCTAAAACCCACCGAAAATCTTACTTTGGAAAAATTTCATTAATGAAAGTTTGCCAAAAACACTTCAATGAAAAAGTAAGTAGAAGTTGTTTTATTTTTATTATTTGATCAAATTTTTGGTAGGGATGAATATATAATTTTTAATTAGAAATTTACTATATTCACGATAACTCTAATAAAGCGTGTGCAAGTTCAGAGTCATCGGTAAAATACATGTTAGATTGACCGACATGCAAAGATTAATAAAAGTAAAGCGGAGTAATAAACTACAAGTATTAAAGCACATTTTAAATAGGATTCCATATTCTAGAAGCTGTGAACCTTCGAGAAAGCATTAAATTAGTTTTTCGTTAAATAACCTATGTTAACATACGCCTTATATTAAATAAATGATGTAACACTAACATTGACAGTCAAGGCAGTAAAACTTGTTTCTTGTGACGAATGCGGGTATTATTTGTTGGAATAAAGCCAAAGTAAGCAGTCGTGTAACAAATAAAAAATCTTCAGCGTCGAGGTGCATATTAAATTTTAATTAAAATGGCATATCAATAATTAGCAATGTCAATAATTTCTTTTTCGTACAATCATTTAATAGTTATATGTATTGTTAAGTTGATCGGTGATTGAAAATCGGCGTGGGTTAAACGCAACAATTATTTAAGTATTTCATAGTAACTCGGATTTACACGACTAATTACAGAGCGATTATGTACAAAATAATCCCGGCACAACTTCACTGGGTTTTTCGGCGACGGATGGGTTTATTTCCTAACAGTATTTACTGTCATTGTTGACACAATGGACAAAAAGTCGCACATACAACCATTAAGGTTAGTAATACGAAGAAATAAAAAATAACAGTGCTCTTATACTTATAACTTACTTATTAAAGAATTTATTTATAAAAATTAAACGTACGATTTGTACAATTATTAAATTTAACAATTTTTCCATTTTTCCCCGGATAAAGAACCTGCTACATATTCCTCAGCGGCTCCAGATGACCTGCGAATAGATTTTTTTTGTGACGGAATAAATATGTATTTTATTGTACTATAACCACCAACCGCCATGACGTTTCTGTGTTATAACGTCAACTCCAATATTTACTAACAGAGTCGCCGACGTCCTTTTGAAAGCATGGCCTGTGTAAAATTTTGGATCTTGGACTTTTCAATATTCCGCAATTTTCCAAGGTATTTATGCCCACAAGTAGAAAAATTGACGAAAGTTTGTCTCTTTGATTCCTAACTGTACCTAAATATTTGCAAAAAATATTCAGAAAAGAAATTTTTCATTGGGTTCCACTCGTTAAAAATTTATGCTTTTACAATGGTATTAGTTATCATATCATTAACTTAGCCCTTTTCAAAATAAACAATATTTAATTGACTTAAATGAGTCAGTAACATGATTTTATGTAGCTAGTTGGAACTAGGTCTAAACACATAGAGCTAGATCTTTAGTTTGCGGTGCCAAATTCATAAACCGTGTTGTACTTACTTTTGGCACCAAATTTGAATCAGACATTTGGAAAACCCTGTAAGTCAGTAAACCCGAAAGTATTTTTTTAATTTATGGTTTAATACAATTCAGTTCCTATGACATGATGTCTAAAAGAACCCGATTAGTCACTGATTTGTGGAGTTTCAAAAATATCCACGTAATTTTTCACTAAAACTGGCTTACGACGTTTCTTCGACAACTGATTCATTTAAAATACAACCATCCTCCAGGCAGCATAAATGAAAGAATGTGTATTATTTTTACAAACATTTCGAAAAAACTAATAAAAATATTTGCAGGTCATCAAACGTCCAGTCAACAAATAAATAAAATAAAAAGGTGAATTCCGAAATAGCTCAAGATTACAAGTTCTAAAAAAAAAAAATTACCTCATTCTAGGAATTAAAACTACCACGATCAGCATAGTATTTTGCTGTTGGTAGTAAACATAGTAAATAATGACGCAAACATGTAAAAAAATAAACGATAAACTGATCGATGAGTTGAGTGGACAAACCAGTTTAACACTTTTCTTTTAACAAGACTGGAAGATTGCTGTCGTCAAGTGGGATTTTATTTTACAAATCTGTAGCAAAAAATCTGATGAATATACGTAATAGTTGTGGGTTGTGGTTTAGTTTCTCTAGAATGATCCTTCTCAAGTTGTTTATTAATTTACAATTCTAAAAACTTTTTTGTGAAATGTCACATTAAGAACTTATGTATAATTAGAATTACGTAAGGAGTGATGGAGTATTAATCAGTTTTAATTCTATTTCTACTCCAGGAAAACTAAAAACCAGAAACATCCATATTATTTTTTAACGTATACCATGATAATTATTGTTTTTTTGTCCAAATGCACGGTTTTTATTTTCTGTTTTCTTTTACTTTTTACTGGTACAATTAGCTATGTGTTATTAATGTTTCGGGTAAATATTTACCCTCTCATTAAGGTACCCATGTAACAAGATTCCCAGAAAAATATTTAAGAAACCAAGCCCGAATTAAAGTAAAAATGGTTTAAAATAATCTCCATGTCTAGTTATCTCGGAAAATGCCCTAAACTAAATTTACGATGTGTTAATCCCTACATGAGCCGCTGTAGCGAACGCACAGCCACTAGTTTTCTAACAAAACCAGTTTAATCGAGCTGGGGGCAAAAAAATCGTAAAATATGGGTAATGAAAATACGAGTGGGGTTGTTAATATGTATCTTGTAAAATCTGTCTGAAACAGCTTTTTTCCGGATAAAAAACACACTGAACATAAATGTATCTTATATATAACTGGGTGAGTGAGTAAATCCGGTTTTCCGCAACAAGTATCCTTAAAAGATCTGTACTTTTTAATGAATGAACTTCAGAATATGAAACGAGCTTCGTAGACCGCTGAGCAGAGCTCTGTACAAAAGTGCATTGCCTTCGAATAGAATCTCAGAGATGGGTAAAAATGCTTTAATTACCTAATTATAAAATAAATTAGTTAATTACATCCTGTCTGGTACCTTGCATTTTGAATAGGTACAGTACCAGTTAGGTGTTATTATCATGGTCGGTAATTGTTGAATAAATATGAAGCTTCATCTTAATTACCTTTTTTCTTCACAACTGAGTTATGAAGTGATTTCATGCTAACGAAGTAAATCACATCCAAGTGACCAACCGTGAGCTTTATGTGAACTAATCGTTTGGCTAAGACGCTATTATACAGAATGAGTAGTCAACTTGACTTTCATGACGAACTGATAAATTTTAATTATTTTCACAGAATTTTATTTATTCATTCATACCGGAGTTGGGTAACACGGAAGATATTATACTATTTTCCTGTGAGTTGTTAATATTGGTAACGATAATGATTTAGATGTAAACACGGAAAGTCCACATTATGTAAATCGTACCTACC